AGGTGGGTGGCAAATTGGCTTAGGGGTTGCACCCAGAGAGTGGTGGTGGATGGGTTGCTATCAACTTGGAAAGATGTGGGCAGTGCAGTCCTACAGGGTTTGGTCCTTGGACCTGTGCTGTTCAATGTCTTCATCAGTGACTTGGATGAGGGCATGGAAAGCACTCTGTCCAAATTCACAGATGATACCAAATTATGGAGTAAAGTTAACACACCAGAGGGTAGGGAACAAATCCAGGAGGATCTGGACAGGTTGGAAAAGTGGGCAGATGCAGTTAGGATTCAGTTCAATAAGGACAAATGCAAGGTGCTGCACCTAGGAAGAAGGAATCACCAGCATGCTTACAGGCTGGGGGATGACCTTCTCAGCAGCACGGCAGCAGAAAAGGATCTTGGAGTCACTGTTGACTCCAAGATGAACATGAGCCATCAATGTGACAAAGTGATCAGTAAAGCTAACCGCACTTTATCATGCATTAGCAGGTGCATGAGAAACAGGTCCAAGGATGTGATACTTCCCCTTTATGTGGCATTGGTCAGGCTGCAATTGGAGTCCAGTTTTGGGTGCCACACTTTTGTTAGGGTGAACAACCTCGAGAGGTTTCAGAAGAGGGCCACTTATATGGTTAGGGGCCTGCAGGCAAAGCCCTACGAGGAGAGATTGAGGGCCCTGGATATCTTCAGCCTCCGCAAGAGAAGGCTGAGAGGTGATCTTGTGGCTGCCTACAAATTCATCAGGGGGGGGCAGCAGGGAAAAGGAGATGCACTGTTTACTAGGGCACCCCGTGGAGTAACTAGGAACAATGGCCAAAAACTGACGGAGAGCAGATTTAGGTTAGACATCAGGAAGGACTTCTTTACAGTGAGGATTGCCAGAATCTGGAATGGGCTTCAAAGGGAGTCAGTGCACTCCCCTACCTTGGGGGTCTTTAAGAAGAGGCTAGAAATGCACCTGGCTGTGGTTGTCTGACCCCAGCGCTCTTTCCTGCCCAGGGCAGGAGGTCAGACTCAATGATCTGAAGAGGTCCCTTCTAACCCAGATATCTATGAATCTATGAATCAGTGACCCTGATTTCTCATTAGAAATGTTCTCATGCGCTTATGTAACATGTATCCATGGTGCTGTTAGGGTATATGCCACAATTACAGGGACCCTAGTTATGGGGGACAGAAGATTAAGATTTTTGGCACTGTGTCTGATTACCTGACCCACTAGGTGGTGACTGGAAAAGAATGTGGCTTAATGGCCAAATTGTTATAATTGGCCTGGAGGGCTGAGTTGAAATTGGCCCATTCTCCTCCAGCTGAGCAGTAGTTAGGGAATATATTTCAATTTGCAGATCTGAAGCTGGTTGGACCCCATCCCAAATCTTGCTGTGAACACTAAAGGGACGGGAGAGAAGCCCTCATGGCCAGGGGAAGATTTTCTGGAATGCCATAGGCATACAGTAGAATGTAGACAACCCTGGGTAAATCTTAAAAGGCCTTGAACCTGAGGGACCCATCCAATAGAGGGACTGGAGCAGATGGGAGAAGCCCCTGATTTCATTGAAAGTCAAAGGAGGGTTTTGTTTATATCCCCACCATATGATTGACAGAGCCACACCAACAGGGTCATGGTGGCCCCCAACTTGGCATCTCAGGAACTTCATTTTCAGTTACAGTGGTACCTCTTAGTAAGGTTTACAAGAGACAGAATTATAGGAACTTGGTGATTTCAACTCTCAGTAACAAAACTTTATCAAAAACAAGCATTGAAGTTAGCACATACATACATACACAGGGTGATCCACTTGCGGGTGGAGAAAAAACAAGAGAGGATATTTGGGAAGTTCTTTTAGCCAGGAGTGTACCAAGACATGGAAGAGTACTGTGCGTCTTGCCCAGAATGCCAGCTAGTTGGACCTAGGCCCAGTTACAGAGTCCTTTAGGGCTCCACCCACTGAGCAGCACCCCATTTGAGTGGGTGGGAGTGACCTGCTCAGATCAGTGAAGTCAAGTGCAAGTGGTAGCCAGTTTAATTTTGTGCTGATAGACTATGCCACCAGGTACCCAGAAGCAGCAGCCATCCTCTCAGCCTTGGCTGAATTGGTTGCCTCAGTTATTGAAAATACTCTCTTCCCCAAGAAGCGTTAACCTAACAGGGCATTGTGCTTATGTCATGGCTTTTACAGGAGGTCTGGTCACTCTTAAAGGGCCATTTGGTGAAGATCTCAATTTACCATCCCCAAACATGTGGTTTGGTTGAGAGATTCAACCGAACTTTCAAGTAAATGTTGTGAAGCTTTCTAGTTGGGGAACCCCAAAGTTGGGACAAGCTATGGCCCTATTTATACTTGTGATTTGGGAGCTCTTACCATCATTATCTGGCATTTCCCCTTTTGAAATGTTGTATGGCTGGCAACCCCAAGAATATTAGGCCTCTTACAAGAATCTACAAAAGCCCAGGGGCAAGAGCCCAAAATGCAGTACACTATGTTCTTAAGATGCAGGAAAAGCTATAGTGGGAACCCTAACTAATCTCTCCCAGCAGTGAATACAAGCAGTAACTTACCCCTCTAAGAAACAGCACATTGCCAAATTCTGAATACTGAAATAAATGGTGAAATCCCAATTACATCTTTCTTATTTGGAGACAGATTTGTTTAGGCGTACTGCAAAGTTTCTTTCTTCCAGAGAGCCTTTCTACCATAACAAAGGTGACGTAGCATCCATATATTTGTTCATTCAAGTTTTATCAACCACATACTTACATGACTTTAGGCCCACAGTAATACACTTTTAGGAATACAGTAAAAAATAATTAAAAAGCTGGGGACAGTGCTGTCCAAACATCTATAGACACTTATTTTTCATTCCTTCAATATTGTACACACAAGCATATTGTCGCTTAGAAAACCCCAATGAGTTGACATATTAAGAACTCCAATACAAAGCAATTTAAACAATTTTTCTACTCTTCAAATTCTCTCCCAAAAAACAACTCACCTAGACTCTTTACATTAATATTGATTATTTTTTAAAGAAAAGATTAAGTCCCAACAAAAATTAATAAAATGAAATCCAGTGTTCCATGCTTTGT